CTTACTGAGTATTTTCTGCTCAAATTTGCAGCTATTGATAGAGTAGTAAAAAATTTTTTTTAAATATATGCTAAACTGTTGTTAACTGACAAATTGGTTAACCACTTATTTGTTTGTCAGTAAATTGTTATGGTGTATTTTTCAGCAGTTTTATAATACAGTTAAGTAAAGAAAAAACACAAAAAATTCTGCATTTTTTTTTGTGTGTGTGTATGTCATAAGAATTAGTAAAAGTAGAAAAAAATTAAAATGTGATAAATTATAAACCAATTTTTGTCAACTGTTATGACAACAAAATAGAACAGAGGAAGATAGATTAGGTGTAATTTAAAAGGGGTAGGTTGAACTACGATTAATGGTGTCATCTGAAAATAAACATTTAAAAAACCAAAAAAAAAGAAGAGGAATTCTACAAATCTTTTAAAAAAGTCTTAAGATTAGAAAGAAGAAAATTGGGCTTTTTTTCTTTTTTTTTGCAGAATAGCAAACTTACAGCAGCAGTTGGATATATGTTAAATTCATTTGTAGACAACTGTAAAAACATTGAACAAAGTTTTTGCATTTGTTTTATAATGGTGAAAAGATCAGTGGTTCAGTTATAATTGTATGAGGTATCAAGAAGAAGAAGGAAAAAGGAAGAAAAAAGGTGAAAAATTATTGGTGATAAAGAGGAAAAAAATTGTGAAAAAAAATAGATTTAATAAGTTTAAAATAAATTTACAAGTTAATTAATAGAGAACAAAAAAAAAGGTATTGCAAAGAAAGTGAATATTCAAAATATGGGGGCTTACAAAATGAATAATTTTCAATCACATCCATCAAAGCTCTCTCTTTCACATATCACCCACAAATGTTTTTCTTTTCTTTTTTATGGATATCTTTTAGAAGTTTTAAAATTTTTTTTTAAAATTATTAACAATAAAGCAGATAAAAAAAAAGTTCTTTAGCTGATGACAATGTCTTTTTTTTGAATTGTATGAGAAATGTAGGAAAGATTTTTTTTTTGCTGCTATACTTCCTTCTGAAAGCTTTCTTTTTTTTAACTGACGATCGTTCATATCGTTAATCCAAAATTTGTTGGTTGTTGCTGCTGTTGTTGCATAAAAATTTTTCAGTAATATTTTACACTTCAAATATGTGTGTTTCCATCAGATTTAATCATTTTTCCATTTTTTTTTTTCAGCATTTAATTGTTGTTTTACTGTTTTTTCGCTGTTTCAGTAAACATTTTTATAAGTTTTTCATCGATACATTAACACTGTTTTAGACGCTTTTTTTTTTTGACAATATGGCTAAATAAAATTGATATGTATTGACTGTAAAGCATTATTTATTCTTGGCAATATAATTTGCTTTTTTCCAAGTATCATACAAATTGTTTTTCGATTAGCTTATCTTTGAGTATCCATTGTTTTACATTCCATCGGTTAGTCTATCACTTTGACAGTTAAATTGCTGCTGTCTATAGTTTTGCTGCTTTAGAGTAGACAAAAAAAAATTTCTTTAAATTTAATCGTTTTCTCTTTTTTTTTTTTCAGTGCTGTATATAACAGGAAAAAAAAAAGGTTTAATTAATTGTTTCCAACAAACAAACGACTTCGTCATTTAAATGATTTATTTAGCGAAAAAAAAAACAAAAAAAACTGAACACTTTCATCTAACCAAAAGAAAAAAAACTGTATTTTTTACAGCTTAATGTTGAATCCCATTTGCTACGGTACATTTAATATCTGCAAACAGTGTATTTGCAAAAAAAAAATACTGCTGTTTTTTTTTTTGAAACAAATTAAAAAAATTTTAAGAGAAAAAAAGAGGAATAAAAAACAAAAAAGTAACAGGAATTTTTCACCTTTTGCTGTTTTCCCCCCTCTTCCCCTTCCCCATCCCTCTAATAGCTTAACAACAGTTGTCGATGGTTATAATTGTGGTTATGGTTCTTCAAAACTGTTTTGTACACTCTAATCTTCCTTAAATTTTCTTACTGAAAATTGTTAATCATCTTTTAAAGCGACGGTAATTTAGCAAGAAAAAGAAAGAAAGCTATAGTATTAATCATATTGAAAAATTATTTTTTATGTAATTACTGTATTCAAATTAATTCTTGAAAACATTTGTAACCGATAAACATGTTTAAAAAATTTTAAATGAATGAAACGGAATGGATGAATGGATAGTTGAATAAACAACTGGACAGGTGAACAGATTAATAGACAGTTTTAGATAGATGATTATAGATGGATGGATAGATAGTTGGATGAATGGATGGGTAGATAAAACAATTGGAATCTGTCAGCAAATGTCAGAAAACTGGTCAGTATCCATCATTTGCTGTTACTTTTTTGGTGACCTGAAATAACTGTAACTGTGACTGATGTATTTGGATATTCAAATTTGTTAATCAACAACAGTAACTGTTGCCATTTCGATAGTGCACTTTGTGTGCTTCTCACAAATTCCACAGATTCATTGGTTGTGACAAAAAAGTAATTACCGAGAAGAATGGATAAGCAAAAAAATATTTATTGCTGTAATAAAAACAGTGGTTTTTTTCCTTTTGAATAGAAAAAAGTAAAAAAAAAAATTTTTTTTTCATTTTATTTTATTCTTTTTTTTTCTATA